ACTTTATATATAATTATAATAGTGTTATTTGTAGTGAATGCTGAATACATCTCAAACTCCCAATTGGTTTCTAATAGTACAGCGACTAGAGTGAGGGGAACGGGACTGTATGGCAGTGCTTGTAGTTATGACACCGATTGTCAGACCGGCCTAAATCTGATCTGTGCGTACGGCCAGTGTCTCTGTCGGTCTAACTTTCAATACAACGGACAGACATTATTGTGTGAATTCTTTTCGTGCGGCTCCGATACCCAGTGCCAGGCCTATGACCAGAAAACCTACTGTTCCACTGGTACCGGCGCCTGTGTTTGCCAAACCAACTACGAGCGCACTAACCTAGGTCATGTGTGCCAATATCATAGCTCAACGTACTGTTCGTCAAGCATTCAGTGCCTACCGAATGAGGTGTGTGTGAACTCCCGGTGCAGATGTGCCACCAATTATGAAAGGAGTGGTAGTTATTGTGAACGATATGTCTGCCAATCGTTTGCCGATTGCGACACCGATTGGGATCCGATGAGGCGGTGCTCTTTAGGCAGCTGTAAGTGTTGGAACGGCTATGAAGAAGACTCGGATGGCCTGTGCGTTAAGAGTGGTATCAGTGTCTGGTATTGGGTCTGGATTTTCATCGCTATACCCGTTGTATTACTTATCATATTTGGTGTCTATTATTATCACAAGAAGTATTTAAAGAGACGAGACTATGTTGAACCCGTTGAGTGATACTATTTTATATAATTATGTATTTATTTAAATTATTTAAATATATTTATTATAAATTAGTATAAACGATATACACGTACGTGACAAATTATTAATTATAAAATACAACATAGTCTTAGATTGCTTTATTTGTTTAAGAATATTTAAATAAAATATAATGTGTATTACGGTATATATTGATTACTTGTAATATACAGTCAATTCATTATGGATTCATAAAATTATTTGTAAAAGTATTAGAAATGTGAAATATTAATTTTAAAAATTCAATGTATGAATAAATTAATACAAAATTATTTCGTATATTTTTTATATTGTATTAACATTCGCATGTGTAATTTACAAAATTTAAAACAAAAATTAAATATTTATATTAAGTAATAAATAGGATGAAATTATTAATATCTTATTTACGGCAAAGTTCATAGATGTGCGATAATCGCAATAAATTTAAATATATAGTTCACTATTGCAACTAAATATCTGAAATTCAGAATAAATACATGATGTTTATGTATTAAAAGCAATTATCGTGTGAACGAGTGAAATGTTTTCATGATTTATGTTAACAACTATTTATACTGTATAAATATCATAAACTAAATAACTTTAAACTTTAAACAGTAATTTATTTGAAATTTAATATGATAAAAACTGATTATATTAAAGAAAATAGTTATTATGTAAATAAACAAGTTACTTTATAAATAGTATATTTTGAGATGATTCTAAACTAATTTGAAATATTTTAATTCAAGTCTAACAATGAAACGTTTTTTAGTGTTAGCTAACCCGAGGACTGGATCCACATATTTGGCAAACTTATTAGGAAGTNTAAATAGTATATTTTGAGATGATTCTAAACTAATTTGAAATATTTTAATTCAAGTCTAACAATGAAACGTTTTTTAGTGTTAGCTAACCCGAGGACTGGATCCACATATTTGGCAAACTTATTAGGAAGTCATGCGGACATAGGATTGGCCGGTGAACTACTCAATGATGAAAACATTATACCAGAGGATGCCCTCAAATATATCAGCAAAGAGTTGGCAAAATATGATCAGAAATTTGTTGGTTTTAAGGTATTTCCCGAACAGATATTGAAGAGAAAGTTACGTTTCGATGATATTGTCAGACATATCGGTGCAGATGTGGTGATAGTCTTGTGGCGCAAATCCATTGCCGAACAGTTAGTGTCCCTAAGAATTGCTGAAAAGACTGGCGTTTGGTTTGAAGGCGCGGAAGAGTTTATAAGTAATATAAATCACAAGAAATATTGTAAAGAAAAAGCTCTCATTTTAGACCAAGAATTGAGCGAATATTACGAGATATTAGTAAATGATTGGAAAATTATAGGCAGTCAATGGCCTATTGATATAATCCCGATATATGTCTCTTATGACGATCTCATAGCTGATCCATTGAGTGAATTGCGGAAAATCATGTCTCGATTGAGCTGTGATTCAGGACAGTATGTGTTCGCGAGTCCCGGTGCTGTCAAACAACAATTCCCTCCATCAGAACGTATAGAGAATTGGGAGGAAATAAGAGACGATTTGAAGATTTTGGAGATAAATGTGAAGCAATTGATGACAGAATGCATTGAGAATAACCTGAATGTCAAGTGTCAAGCCCTGCCTTTAGTTCCCGATCCGGAGCCGCCCATCCCATCAAAGGGCTGGCGATATCATGTCTGCGCGCCTTATATGCCAAATGAGGGCAAAGATAATGTAATTCAGGCGCTGGTCTCGGGTTCTGTGTCTTCGGCAGGATTTTGGCCCAAAGAGATGTCCGATAAGTTGCGAAAGAAGTTCAACTGTCCAGTGGCTCAGCCGTGCAGTAATGGGTTCACAGCACTGATGATAACCTTTCAAGCAATGCATGTGGGAAGTGGTGATGAGGTGATAATGCCGTCGATGACAATGGTAGCCGTTCCCAATTCAGTCACATTTGTTGGCGCAGTCCCTGTGTTTGCTGACTGTGCGGATGGGGATTACAATCCGGGTCTCAAAGAGATATTAGAAGTGGCATCAGGTTTGATAATAACTTTATTACAATTCAGATTATTCTGCATTCAAACCATAAACAGTAAAACATTTTTATACAGTAATGTTTTTCAAGTAAAATTAATGTATTTTAATGTCAAGGCTTTATTTTATTCAAGTTGAATAAACTTTTCTTACACATAACATTACAGTTAATTTTGAAAATGACACTGGTTATAGTAAATATAGAAATATTGAAAATAAAAATGAAGTCTATTTGTCATAACCAGAGAGAACCCGAGCAGTTGTGTTGACCCACACCTACGGAGTGCCG